TTCGTCTCGAGTAGCTACTGCGCCTGCTCCTGCTCCTGCTTCTGCTGCTCCGGCTGCTTCTGCTGCTTCTGCTCCTGCTGCTCCTTCCGCCCCTTCTGCTCCTCCTCCTCGCTCTCCTCCTCCTCCTCGCTCTCCTACTCCTCACCTTGCATTGACTGGAACCATGGTGTCTGTGACGCGAATGCAAGCAGGATACTGCAACAGGATGGGGAAGGAGGGGAGGAGAAGAGAGAGGAAGTAGCCGTCAGCCGCGCAAGTGAGTTGCAAGCTGCAGGTGAAGGAGCAGGAGCAGGAGCAGGAGCAGGAGCAGGAGCAGCAGGAGCAGCAGGAGCAGCAGGAGCAGCAGGAGCAGGAGCAGCAGGAGCAGCAGGATTAGCAGGAGCAGGAGCAGGAGCAGGAGCAGGAGCTGGTGGAGAAGGGGATGGATGAGGAGGAAGGGAAAGAGGAAGTGGAGGATGGGGGGCAATTCAACACCTCAGGATGCGTGAAGAGCCTGGAAGGTCGCCAGGAGAGGACGAAGAGATCGCGGAAAGTTCCTCCTCCCATGCTCACTGCTTGCAACTGACATGCTGAAGTGCAGGAGGGAAAGCAGAGGAGGAAGGCAAGAGGCAGAAAGAGAACGAGGAGGACGAAGAGGGAGAGAGAGGAGAAGAAGACGAGGGCAAGGAAAAGAAGGAGAGGAGGACGGGGGAAAGGAGAAGGTGGTGGAGGAGGACGGGGGAGGGGAACAAGTGAAGGAGGATGAAAAGCAGCAGCAGCAGCAGGGAGCAAGGGAGTAAGAGGAATTTCAACCTTCCGATAGGTTTGAGATCTTCTCCAGCACAGCTCCAGGAGGGATCCCAACTGAGGAATGAAAGTCAGCCAGTCGGTCAGCTGGTCGGTCAGCTGGACCTGTCGGCTCTGGAGTGACAGTCGCGCCGTAGGAGCTTCTCTCGATGACAATGTTGACCTGAAGGGAAACGAGATGAGAAGGAGGAGGAGGAGGAGGAAGTGTTGGTGGTGGAGAAGAGGAGGAGGAGGAGGAGGAGGAGGAGGAGGAGAAAAAGAAGAAAGGGGGGGAGGAGGGAGCGAGACATGGCGAGGAGAACAGTAAACAACAAGGGGCGATGGGGGGAGAGCAGGAAGGAGGACGGAGGACAGAGGATGGAGAGCAGCTGGAGTACCTGCACGAGGCATCCAGGAGCCGCCTGCACGACACTGCCATGGAGGATCGCCGACGTGTCGTTAATGAAGGAGGGGGAGGATGACGTGGCAAGGGACAAGTTGAAAACCTCCCCCGAGACTCCCTGCTGGGCCTGAACCTGGCAGACGCACAGCTCAACCCCAGCTGGCAACTCCCCGCACCTCACCATCCTCACGCCGTCCACGAAGAGATCGCAGCCGATGACGGGAGAGTCGTTGATGATGGAGAGCTGAGAGAGGGAGAGAGGGCGAGAGGGAGAGAGGGAGAGAGGGAGAGAAGGAGAGAGGGAGAGAAGGGGGAAGGAAGGGAAGGGAAGGGAAGGGAAGGGAAGGGAGACGGGGAACGGGAGGACAGTGGAAGAGGAAGGAAGAGAACGAAGGAGGACGGGAGCAGGAGAGGAAGGAAGAAGCAACCAGCAAGATGTCAAGATGAACTTCACGTAGCCATCAGCAGATCTCTTGCTACCTCAACGATGGGCTGGTCAGCGATGAACCTGAGGTACTTCTTCTCCATCGCGTCCTTCACAAGATGCCCGCTCCCCTTGCTCCCAGCGTCAGCAGTTGGTGGCCTGACTCTCCTCCACACACCCTCCTCCTCCACAACCTCCCTCTCCAGCTACTTCTTGTGCTCCTGCTCCAGCTACTTCTTCTGCTCCTGCTCCTGCTCCTGCTCCTGCTCCTGCTCCTGCTCCTGCTCCTCCTTTACCTCCTGCAGGACGATCCTTCCCAGCTCGACCCCTCCTCGAACGGTCACGAGGAGCGCAGAAAGTCGGTCGCCAGCGGATCGGCAGGAGGCCAGGAAGATGACATCGTAGGTGACACCTGAGGGGCGCCGTCAGCGAGTTGATGGAAGAATGAGAAGCAGCAGCAGCAAGATGGAGCAGGGAGAGGAGGGAGAGGGAGAGGGAGGGGGCGAGGGCGAGGAGGGAGACAAGGAGGAGGAACGAGCATGGCGGCGAGGGCTAGCTCGGGTGGACATGAATACCATAACTCTAGTCTGTCTTGAGGCCCAAGTTTATTCG